GCCACTGCTGACACCGCGGCACTCGCCCACGTGAAGTCGAAGCTGCAGAGGAGACACACGTGCACAGACCTGGGTGAACTGACAAGCTATCTTGGCTTGTGGATCACCCGGGACAGAGCACGGCGCACCATCACCTTGACTCAGTCACACATGGTGCAGCAGATCCTTCAGCGCTTCCGCTTCACGTACTCCTCGCCTCAGTCCACTCCTCTGCCTACCGGTCACTCGCTCTCAGCTCTGCCTTCGGATGAGTCCGTAGAGCCGAGTGGCCCGTATCCAGAGCTTGTGGGCTGCCTCATGTACCTGATGACCTGCACTCGACCTGACCTTGCATACCCTCTTAGCATCCTTGCGCGCTATGTCGCTCCTGGCCGTCACAGGAAGGAGCACATGGATGCCGCTAAGAGGGTGTTGCGCTACTTGTGCAGTACGTCGGGCATGGGGCTAGTGCTTGGAGGGCAAGACCGAGTTGTACTTACTGGACACTCAGACGCTTCTTGGGCAAACGACCAGGCTACTCAGCGGTCGTCTCAGGGTTACACCTTCAGCCTTGGCTCCGGCTCAGTTTCTTGGCGTTCTACACGCTCTTCTTCTGTTCTCAGCTCCAGTTGTGAGGCTGAGATCTACGCCATAGCCATGGCTGCCCAGGAGCTACGCTGGCTGACCTACCTGCTGACCGACTTGGGAGAGCGGCCTCGTTCTCCTCCAGTGCTGTACGTCGACAACCAGGCTGCCATTGCCTTGTGTGAGGAGCACAGACTGGAGCACAGAACGAAGCACATCGCCCTGCGGTACTTCCTTGCTCGAGAGCTGCAGCAGCGTGGTCAGCTTCGTCTGCGTTACGTGGCCACTGAGGCCAACCTTGCTGATGTGTTCACCAAGGCACTTCAGCCTTGTGACCATCAGCGTTTCTGTACTCTTCTAGGCCTTGTGCCTGCTGGACCTCACTTACTTACTTCTTGACTCTGCTTGTACTGTGATCTTTATATATATGCTTGCATGTTTACACTTGCTAGGTTGTGATCACTGTATCTCTTGTTATATTATCATCCTGCATGTGAACTGGTCTTGTGACCACTTGCTTGTGCTCGGAATTTGTGTGGTATCCTTGAGATCCACCCTGAGCTTGTTTTGCTTTGCTTTGACTGGTCTTGTGACCCCTTGCTCTCCCCCACTTTGCCTATGGGGGTATGTCAAACATTATATATGTTGTGTTTGTTTAGGCTACAATGGGTTAGCCTATAGGGGGTACACAATTCTAGGGTTAGGTACTTGTACTGATTTCACTGTTAGTTCAATCATTCCTGTCCGTTCATTCTGACACATGAAGTCTAAAATAGCGAGGGAAGGTCCGAAGACGAGATGGGACATCGCGCAAGAACCGTTGCTGTTCAACCGCCAGGTCCTGCCGAATGGGAAGAAGCCGATTGGCCGCCAGAAAGCGTCGGAAGGGCTGGAGCTAATTCAGTTAAGTGATTTCATCAGTTGCGCAGAAGATGGAGCGTGCTCGTTAAAAAGTGAAGAGGTACTGGCCAGGGAGCTGGGCACGGTCAAGAAGGCGAGAAAGGCGCTGAAAAAATCTAAGTGTATTCTGGACGCATGGAAGGAGAAGCTGCTGGCGCCTATCACAGGGAAGGAGCTCCTGGAGGTGTCGCCTCATGTGAAAAGAATAGGCGCAGTGGGCGTCTGGAAGGTGGATGCGGTGGGGCAGGCAAGACTTGCCTGCCGAGCATGTGATTGCTTTGGGGAGCCCCTGAAGGGGACTGCGGAACAGTTGTCGGTTTTCGACTTGAACAGAGTGGAGCCCCCCTCGTCGCTGGGTGGGATCGGCACCACGGACCCCTTAATAGAAGGCGTGCACGGATTCGTGGGGAGTTTTACCCAGGCGGCGCTATTCCTCTTCTCCCTCGCGCTAGCGCTAGAGAATGTCCTGACACAAGCTCGAAATCATATGCTACTGCTACGGGACGACAACACGCCACTACACGCATGGCTTACTGAGTGCGAAGCGGCTCTGCCATCGGACGCGTGGGAGATTCTGGAAAAGGAGCGACTCGAACGGTCGGACATTAGGCTCCAGCACGCGCTCGCCCTGAAGGTTCACGAAAGTAGATACGCCGTGCATGTCCAGAAGACAAGGCACATGCAGCTGAATCTGCTGGCGGGCCACACGCAGCGGATGTTCACGCTAACTGGATACGGCACAGGAGACTGGCTAACTGCGATCCCCATAGCTCCAACAAGGCGAATAGGACCAGTGCACTTCACCATTACCGTGCGTTTCTGGTTAGGTCTCCCTTTCTCAACACCAAAGAACTACGACTGCGCGGAACACACAGCTATCACATACCCCCGCCTCCCAAATCATCTCTTCCGCTGTGGCTCGGGCAAGCACCGAATTAACACCCACAACGAGCTGCGGGATGCATGCATCAGCATGGCGCAGGATGCGGGGTTTATAGTCCATAGTGAATCAGCCGCTTACTGCCCCACTGAGGAACAAACGACCGACTTCACCATGACGGATAGAAGCAACGGGGCGGTATGGGTGTACGACGTTACCATCACGGGCCCCATTAGCATGAGGGATCCAGAGGCACGGAAAGGCAGGAGATGGGCAGCACGAGAGCAAGCCGAGAAAGAATATTAAACATTATGCCAGCCGATTAGATACGGTGGGCTCCTCTAGCCGTAGAGACCTACGGCTGCCCATACGCGAAGGACCCAGACTTCCTGAAGCTTCTAGCAGATATGGCGGCTCGGCGCTACTTCAACGCCGAATCTACATCCTTTCATGCTGCCAAGTTGGTGCACCAGTTCCGGCAGAGGTGGTCGGTGGCCTTTCAGAGAGCCCAATCCGTAGGTTACCTGCTCAAGTTGGGCGAGGCGACAGCAGCTCAGAACCCGCCGGTGGGAGGAATAGGGCAAGAACTGAATCTAGGAGACTGCTTGCGTCTCCATCTGCTCACCTGCCTCGCACCTATCACTCGTCTTCCCTACGGCGGTTTGGTTGCTGCTTGGGCAGTCGCTGAGCGCCAACCACCTTGGGCCGGTCTAGTTGTTGCTGGTTAACTTGCGCTACCCTAATACCCCAGATAAAAGACCTGGGGATTGTAACAGTTGCCTATATTTTATCAGACCCGAGTATCATAAGGTCATGTATATTACTTGTGTTTTGCAAGCCAGATATGTCAACACTTTGTGCTCCGATTTTAGCATTTAAAATTACGCGGAATAGACAGATAATGAGTAGATGTGCTTTTGTGACTGGCGGTTACCCTTCGTCAAAGAAAAATTTATGGAATTTGGTGTGGAAAAGGGTATAAAGGCTATCAAAATAGCATTCAATGCCTATAAAATGACCGATTCTCTAGGGGGAGGGGGCTCTTATAACGTTAGCCCCCATTTAGGGGAGTATAACCACAAATGACCTACTTAGTGTACCCCCCACCCCCGGATTATAGACCCGAGGGTCTACTACTGGAGGTGGTCCTGTATCCGGGGTATTACAGTTTTTGCTACACGCAGTCAGGGAGTGTGTTGAACAATATATCTATATTGTTGTTGACTGCCCTGTAGAAACAGTTCCTGTGGTTATTTGTGTTTGCGTTTGGTGGTGTACCTCATTGCTTACATATTTGTACTCTCTACTCTCTAATGAACATTGCTCTTTTGGCCAACTCACCTCTCCTTCCTCTCAACAAGCACCTAGGTTAAGGTTTCTCCTATGCCTAGGTTATACTTATCTCTAACATTAACAGGCTGATGAGTTGTGAATGTGAATTCCTTCACATTCAAACCCTGCACAGGCTGCGTGTTCAGTCAGCATGTGCTGTCATAAGCTCCTAGTGACTCATTTTGAGCGTATGTGCTAGCACGGAATCTTTCCCTGCCAAGTTGCAAGAGATTTTCACCCACCACCTTGTTTCAATTCGACTAGATTGAGTGCGCAAGGATGCGATCTACAGTTTCGTGCCAAATAAAAGGTATGTATGTTATTTATTTCATAAGTGCATTGCTTATAATACTCAATTAGAAGCGTACCTTCTGAAAAAAAAAAAAAAAAACAACACACACACACATACTTTATTATAAGCGCAGGCGCGCTATATCCAGGAAATACGGTAGGTCTGGTTATCAGACCATCAGACCAATTTGGTCTGATAGTGAGAGCATTATGTGTCAAATTATATATGTGATATATATGTGTAGGCTGTAGTGGGGTAGCCAATATGGGGTATAGCTCTTTAGGGGATCATATTTGTACCCAACCTTCTGCTAGTTCATTCATTCCTGCCTAGACTTTCTGACATGGTTTCAGAGCAGTAGGTCCGTAGGACCGTTTTTTTTCGGGCCCACCTACCGTTGCGGTTACTGAGCTGCCCCACGTGCTTGCGTTGCGCCGCCTCGCGCCGCCCTGCCTTGCCTGTGCTGCGCCCCACGCGCACGCCCTGCCTTGCCTACGCTGCGCTGCCTGCGCGCGCTGCCCTAGACCCGCGCGCAGCCCGCTGCTGCCCCGCGCGCCGCGCGCGCAGCCCGCTGCTGCCCCGCGCGTCGCGTCCGCCGCCCACGCAGCCCGCTGCTGCCCCACGCGTTGCGTCCGCAGTCCGCTGCTGCCCCGCGCGCCACGTCCGCTGCCCTCGCGCGGCCCAGCGCTGCCCCGCGCACCGCCTCAGCCGCTTGCGCAGCCCGCGGCTGCCCCGCGCGCAGTCTCAGCCGCCCTTGCGCAGCTCGCTTCTCCCGCGCGCGCTGCTTCCGACGCTTGCACAGCCCGCGGCTGCCTTGTGCGCCACCTTACCCATCTGCGCGCCGCTCTAGCAGCTTGTGCGCCGCCGCTGCAGCCTTGCGCGCAGCTTCTCCCGACCTGCGCTCTGCCTTGCCGCCTGCGCGCTCCTCTTACCTGCGCTGCAAGCATGGCGACTCTCAATGTGCTCGCTTTCGATCCTGACGGTCGCCCGATAGAGTTTGCCACTTGGCTCGACGACCTGCAACTGTTCCTTATGACTGATGCCAAAGACGGCGTTTCACTGTTCGATCACGCGTCTGGCACTTCCGTTGCTCCTGCTGACACTGCTCCCGCTCTCGACCGCTCACAGTGGCAGACCCGTGATGCTGCTGCGCGCCTCGCTATTCGCAACCATCTGCCGATCACTGAACATGCGCATTTTAGTCAGCACAAGACTGCTAAGGCACTGTATGAGGCTGTAGTTGCCCGCTACTCTTCCCCAGCCACTGCAGCCCTAGGTCGTCTTCTCCTACCCTACCTGTTCCCCGACCTGTCCTCGTTTACCACCGCTGAGGACCTCATCTCTCACCTGCGCGCTAGTGACGCTCGCTTTCGTGCCGCCCTTCCAGACGACTTCCTTGCCGAGAATCCCCCCCCGATGTACTTTACTCTCTACTTCCTCGACACTCTTTGCTCAGTCAGGGACCAATTTCTCGCCCTAGACCCTACCGCTATCACTGTCCCCGACTTTGAGAAGCACCTCCAAGCAGCTGAACAGAACATTCTCGCTGTAGGTGCTGCTCGTGGCACTCCTCGCACTCCCCTCTTTGAGGGGTGCTCCCCCTCCCCTCTTGCCCCCTCCTACGCCTCTGCTGCTGCTGTCGACTTCCTTGGTGCTGAGGAGGTCGGGGCTGCTTCCGCTCCTAGTGGGAAGCGCCGCAGCTCCAGGGGCGGCAAGGGTAGCAGGGGAGGTGGAGGTGGCGGTGGAGGGGGCGGTGGTGGAGGCGGCGGGGGAGGTGGAGGTGGTGGGGGTGGTCGTGGGGGTGGAGGTGGTGGTGGGGGCTGCGGTGGTACTGGGAGCGGTGGAGGTGGCAGCGGCATTAGTGGGGGAGGAGGAGGCGGTGGTGGCAGCGGTGGTGCGGGCTGGAGTGTAACCGGCCAGAAGGGGAGCTCCAGTGGTGGCCAGAGACAGCAGCAGCAGCAGCAAACACTCTCCCCTCAGCAGCTTCATGACTGGTATGCTCAGCGTGGGGCGTCTGGGGGTCCTGGTCGCTGCCCCTATATCATTCGCGCAGGTCCCCGCGCTGGTCGCCCATGCAACGGTTTTCACACTGAGTCCCATTGCTGCGCTCGGCTTAGTGATGCCTGGCGCGCCAAGTTTCCTGATGCTACTGAGTTCCCCAACTGGGCAGACCTGCTTAGGCGTGGTGTTCCTATCTTTGATCTTGACTATGATGCAATTCTTGCTGCCAGGTATTCATTGACTGTTAGTGCTGAGGGTGACTGCTACTTGTGTATGCCGCCTGACCCAGGTATAGAGCCTGCAGCCCTAGGTGCTAGTGAGTCTGCTCTCCCTGGTACTGCGTCCGCTCAGGCCTTGCACACCTTTACACTTGACTCTGGTGCTTCCCGCTGTTTCTTTCGCGACAGTACCACAGTCACTCCCCTCCCTGCACCTGTCCCTGTCTCACTGGCTGACCCCTCTGGGGGCCTAGTGCTTGCACGGTCCTCTACTTGGCTTCCGTGTCTGGCGGTCCCGTCCGGGGGTACTGGGTCTGGGGGTGCTGTGTCCGAGGGTACTGCATCTGAGGGTACTGGGGCTCCAGGTGAGCGGTCTCCGTGGAATGGCCGCCTACGTAGTCACACTCGTCGGCGTGAGCCTCTCTCCCCGCAGCAGCTACACGAGTGGTACGCTCGCCGTCAGGGTCGCGCTGGAGCTCGGAGCTCTGCCGCTGGTGGCGCAGCTGGAGCTGGAGCTGGGAGTGGTGCTGGTACTTTGTCTGCTGGAGTTACTAGAGTCGCTGGTCTCGGAAATACTCATACTGGAGGTACTGGAGCTGCTGGGGCTGGGGGTACTGCTGGAGCTGGAGGTGCTGTCGTCAACCCTGGAGTTGGAGGTGCCGGGTCTGGGGGTGTTGCTGCTGGAGACACTGAGGCTGGAGACCCTGGGACTGGAGGTGCCGGTTCTGGGGGTACTGCTGCTGGTGGCGCTGGTACGGGAGGTGCTAGCGCTCGAGGCTCTGGAGTTACAGGAGGTGCTGGCGTTGGAGTCTCTGGCGCTGGAGGTTTTGGAGCTACTAGTGCTGCTGGCACTGCACAGCCACGACTTTTCTTCGCTCCGCCGTCTCCGTCGTCTCAGCCACCGCCTGACTCTGTACTTCGCCAGGTTCTTAGTCTCCCGTCGTCTACTGGTCTTCCGTTACAGCCTGGCTCGCCTCTGCCTGCTCCTTCTCCGTACGCTGAGCAGACAGGAGGTCTTGCTGAGCGTCGTGAGCCTGCATCGCGTCCTGTCTCGCCTGTTCGCACTGGTCGCACTGGTCGTCGTGTTCCTCGTGAGCGTCCGCCTGCTGTTCCCGGCACTCACCTCATGGTACTACGTCCTTCCTCTGTTCCACAGCGTGTTCCTCTGCTGTCTCCTCCTGCGTCCTCTCTGCTTGAAGTTCCGGACCCTGAGTCTGACCAGTTTCGTGCTGCACACCCTACTGTCACGCGTCTGTTAGCCACTGTTGTCACTGACCCGTCGTTTGAGTCTGCTGCTGCGTCTGCCTTAGTCGCTCAGCTTGTTGACTTTGATGCTGCCTGTCACCTCGACTACGCCGCTAGTCTTGTTGCTGAGTCAGAGTCTGTCTGTCCTCCGTCCGTCAGGGGTGAGTGTGCTCTTGGCACGGACGTCCTTGAGGACAGGCACGAGGACCTTGAGTGTCTTGCAGCCGCTGCGCCTCATCTCGTGGCCATGCTGCTTACCCCTGAGGGAGACCCGGATGCACCAGACATCCCGACCCCGTGCTCTTACGCTGAGGCGATCGCGGGTCCCTACTCCTCTCAGTGGCAGATAGCCATGGACGCAGAGATGGCATCCTGGAAGTCCACAGGCACTTACGTCGATGAGGTTCCCCTTCCTGGGGCGAACATCGTCGATGGCATGTGGATTTCAGGGTGAAGCGGCCGCCGGGTTCTCCGTCTGTCTTCAAGGCTCGTTACGTTGCTAGACGCTTTAGTCAGCGTGAGGGAGTTGACTTCTTCCAGACCTTCTCCCCCACCCTGAAGATGACCACTCTTCAGGTGCTGCTGCACGTTGCCGCTCAGCGTGGCTACGAGCTTCACTCTCTTGACTTCAGCACATCCTTCTTACAGGGCAGCCTGCACGAGGAGATCTGGATGCGTCGCCCTCCTGGCTTCACGGGGTCGTTTCCTCCTAGTACCAGTAAAGCCTCTGGCGGCCAGTCTACGGTCTCCGCCAGGCGCCTCGTGAGTGGCACGACACACTGAGGACTACACTTGCGGCTCTTGGGTTTGCTCCTTCGACAGCTGACCCGTCGCTGTTTCTGCGCACCGACACTTCGCTGCCGCCGTTCTACATCCTCGTGTACGTCGACGACTTGGTCTTCGCCACTGCTGACACTGAGGCTCTCGCCCTAGTGAAGTCGGAGCTGCAAAAGAGACACACGTGCACAGACCTAGGTGAGCTGCGCAGTTACCTTGGCTTGCAGATCACCCGGGACCGAGCACGCCGCACCATCACACTGACTCAGTCACACATGGTGCAGCAGGTCCTTCAGCGCTTCGGCTTCACTTGGTCCTCGCCACAGTCCACTCCTCTGGCTACAAGTCTCTCGCTCTCAGCTCCACCTTCGGACGAGTCCGTAGAGCCGAGTGGTCCTTACCAAGAGCTAGTGGACTGCCTCATGTACCTGATGACCTGCACTTGACCTGACCTTGCGTACCCTCTTGGCCTTCTGGCACGCTACGTGGCTCCTGGTCGGCACCGAAAGGTGCACATGGATGCTGCTAAGAGGGTACTGCGCTACTTGTGCAGTATATCGGGCATGGGGCTCGTGCTTGGAGGACGGGGTGACGTTGTCCTCACTGGACACTCTGACGCGTCTTGGGTTGACGACCTGGCTACGCAGCGGTCGTTACAGGGTTACACTTTCAGCCTTGGCTCCGGCTCTGTTTCTTGGCGGTCTACTCGCTCTTCTTCTGTTCTCGGCTCCAGTTGTGAGGCTGAGATCTACGCCACAGCGATAGCTGCACAGGAGTTACGCAGGCTCACCTACCTGCTGATGTCAGTGATAACGGACTGGAATGGTGAACTAGAAAGGATTGTGAGTACAAATATGAAACCCTAATGTTGTGACCCCCCTATAGGCTAACCCACTACAGCCTACACAAACACAACACATATAATGTTTGACACACCCCCATAGGCAAAGTGGGGGAGACCTAGGGGTCACAAGACCAGTCAAGGCAAAGCAAGGCAACAACAAGCTCAGGGTGGATCTCAAGGATACCACACAAATTCCGAGCACAAGCTAGTGGTCACAAGACCAGTTCACATGCAGGTTTATAACAGAGCATGAGATACAGTGATCACAACCTAGCAAGAGTAAACATGCAGGTAGATATATATATAGTGATCACAGTACAAGCAAGGTCAAGAGGTAAGTAAGTGAGGTCCAGTAGGCACAAGGCCTAGCAGAGTGCAGAAGCGCTGATGGTCACAAGGCGGAAGCGCCTTGGTGAACACATCAGCAAGGTTGGCCTCAGTGGCCACGTAACGCAGACGAAGCTGACCGCGCTGCTGCAGCTCTCGAGCAAGGAAGTCCCGCAGGGCGATGTGCTTCGTTCTGTGCTCCAGTCTGTGCTCCTCACACAAGGCGATGGCAGCCTTGTTGTCGACGTACAGCACTGGAGGAGAACGAGGCCGCTCTCCGAGGTCGGTCAGCAGGTAGGTCAGCCAGCGTAGCTCCTGGGCAGCCATGGCTGTGGCGTAGATCTCAGCCTCACAACTGGAGCTGAGAACAGAAGAAGAGCGTGTAGAACGCCAAGAAACTGAGCCGGAGCCAAGGCTGAAGGTGTAACCCTGAGACGACCGCTGAGTAGCCTGGTCGTCCGCCCAAGAAGCGTCTGAGTGTCCAGTAAGTACAACTCGGTCTCGCCCTCCAAGCACTAGCCCCATGCCCGACGTACTGCACAAGTAGCGCAACACCCTCTTAGCGGCATCCATGTGCTCCTTCCTGTGACGGCCAGGAGCGACATAGCGCGCAAGGATGCTAAGAGGGTATGCAAGGTCAGGTCGAGTGCAGGTCATCAGGTACATGAGGCAGCCCACAAGCTCTGGATACGGGCCACTCGGCTCTACGGACTCATCCGAAGGCAGAGCTGAGAGCGAGTGACCGGTAGGCAGAGGAGTAGACTGAGGCGAGGAGTACGTGAAGCGGAAGCGCTGAAGGATCTGCTGCACCATGTGTGACTGAGTCAAGGTGATGGTGCGCCGTGCTCTGTCCCGGGTGATCCGCAAGCCAAGATAGCTTGTCAGTTCACCCAGGTCTGTACAACATAGTGTGTCTCCTCTGCAGCTCCGACTTCACGTGGGCAAGTGCCGCGGTGTCAGCAGTGGCAAAGACCAAGTCGTCGACGTACACGAGGATGTAGAACGGCGGCAGTGAGGTGTCTGTGCGTAGAAACAGTGACGGGTCAGCAGTAGAGGGAGCGAACCCAAGAGCCGCAAGTGTCGTCCTCAGTGTGTCGTGCCACTCACGCGGTGCCTGGCGGAGACCGTAGACCGGCCGCTGAAGCCTCCACTGGGTACCAGGAGGAACCGACCCAGTGAAGCCAGGAGGGCGGCGCAGCCAGATCTCTTCGTGCAGGCTGCCCTGCAAGAAAGCAGTGCTGAAGTCAAGAGAGTGAAGCTCGTAGTCGCGCTGAGCGGCTATGTGCAGCAGCACCCGAAGAGTGGTCATCTTCGGGGTGGGGGAGAAGGTCTGAAAGAAGTCAACTCCCTCTCGCTGACTGAAGCCTCGAGCCACGTAGCGCGCCTTGAAGACAGGAGGAGAACCCGGTGGCCGCTTCACCCTGAAAATCCACATGCCACTGACGATGTTCGCCCCAGGTGGGGGAACCTCGTCGACGTAGGTGCGTGTGGACTTCCAGG